TGGTAAAATATATTTGCGATGTGCGTGGGTGCTGTGTGTGTGTGTGTGTGTGTGTGTGTGTGTGTATAATCCTGCCCCAGTCCCGTGGCAGTTTCATTTTTATTTCGGTTATTTTTTTTTCCTATCCCTGGCTTATGATCTGCCTAGACCTGGCTAGCCACGAAAGGGCCTTAGGCCCTCACAGAAAGAAGACAGTTTAATCAGGATTGTGAGCCCCAGCCCCACAGAGACACTTCCCTATACACGACAGGGCCGCCTGTTCTACCCCTCCAAACACGCATCTTACATACGGCCCTGTGTGTGTTTGTTAGGGCGCTAAATGAGAGAAAAGAAAGGCCTGAAAAGGACTCCACGCCCTGGTCTCTCCTTCCACTATCCCCAGGTCCAGAGCCCCAATCCCTGCCTTCTCTCATACCAGATGGCTGCCATGCTACTGAGCTCTTTTTCTGAAAGATATTTTCTTATCCTGCATCCAGATTGCAAGAAAGCCTTCGTGATTGTGGGGCTCCAATGCTATGATCCCCTCCGCCCACAGCAAGGTCAGGCCGGGCCTGTTGTCCCGAAACACAGAAGGCCCCAAGAGCTCTTAGCTTTCTGCTTCTTCCTCCTCCTGGACCCTTGCCTCACAGTATATTTCATTTTCTCTGATTAAAATAGCCATCTTTTTATTAAAAAGAAAGTGAGAAAGTAACGGGAACAGCCCAACTGAACTCTGTTATATAAAGTTAGTTCTTTGTAACTCTTCACCCCCACCTCATCCCTCTGGAGCGGGTTCAATCCCACGTTCTTGCCCCTCAGATGGTCTCTTTGCCCATCTCCCTACTTTTCTCCCACTTTCAGCTGAGGAGAAGGAGAAAATAAAAACTGAGCTGAGGTTCTGATTATGACCCTACCGGATTGGCCTTTTCTCTATAATTCTCAGCGTCTCCAGGATCTGGAGCTTCCCAAGAGAAAAGGTCTGCTCTGCGGACAGGGTGTCTACTACGGGCAGTTAAAAAACCGGCTATTTCCACAGTCCAAACAGTAAAAGAACCTCCCAAGTCAAGCATTGTCACACGGCCTGAAGGGTTTCCACATTAACTGTATGAAGGCCCAAGCAAGATTCTGACAACAGATAAATGAGGTGAGGAAATAGGGTCTGGCCAGAGACGGGAAACACACATTCGCCACGCGTTCCTTTCCGAATTGCCCACGCAGGGGTCCGCGTGGACTAGCACTCATATCTAAATACAGGGGAAGACTTGGATGGGCAAAATAAATCTCCTTTTAATTTTCTTTTCATCGACTAATAAAAATAATTCCCCGGCACTAAATCCAAACACCGGAACGGGCCACAAGAACACGGAGAATTCATAAAACCCTGTCTCTGCAGGTCACCCCAGCTAATCGCGTTATTATTAGCCTCAGGAGCATGGAAATTGAACTGTCACTGCCTAAAGAGAAAACGTAAGCGACAGCTGTCGGTCCTCGGATCCACCAGCTTTCCGGCAGTGATCCTGAGCTCAGTCCCCAAGCTCCTGAGCCTGTGGCAGCCCCCTCGCTGGACTTGCCAGCACGGGGACAGGGTCTACAACCCAGCCATGGCTGGTTAGCAGAAGCCCCTCCACATGGATTTAGAAGTCTAGGTTGTCACATTTCTGAAGCCGCTCAACCACGCCGGGGAGCCCGGCGTGTATGTGTGTGCGTGCGCGCTCACAAGAGTGTTCTGACAACAGCTGTTCCCCCGGGCTGTTTTGCACAGTTGAGATCTTGGCAGTTAATACAAAACGTTAGGTTGTTTCCCCTGTCCTAGGGTTCTGTTAAAATACAGACATCAACATCTGCCCTGCGTTTTACGTGTTCTGTGCACATAATATGTAGAGAATAGCAAACGCTCAGACATCAGTTAATTCTCCTCCCCCCAATATACAAAGATGTGGGCCCAGAAGAGGGACCCAGGAAGCGGGATAAGAGGTTCAACATCCATCCTTGTTTACAAAACGCCAAGGAAGTGGAAATATAATTACGAAAAGTTGGTAGGAGAAGGGCGAAGACCGAGGTTGAAGACTAACAAACGGTGCACTTTCCGAGGCTGGGGAACGTGAGCCAAGAACGCCGCGCTGGTCCTCTTTAGCCCTAAAAATCCAGTCCTAGCTCCCCTTCACTCCCGCTGCTGACTACGACCTGTGCGCCAACCCCAGGGGCCTGCAGTCCTTTAGCTGCGGGCACGCAGAACGCTGCTCTCAGCTCCCTGAAAGAAGCGGACGAGAGCAGCAAGCAGGCCTCCTTCCTTGAGGTTAGCTTCGCAAATGAAAAGCTCCGGTCAGCCCCCAAATTGCTTCCAGCGAATTTGGGGAGACTCAAGGCGTTTCCACGGAGAAAAAGAAAACCCTGTTAGAGCAGTCACAGAGTCCCCCTTCTCTCCGCGGGCTGGCCATTCCGCAGATCCGCTCTGCCAGCCTCCCGCGGTCCGACCCGACGCACTTACCCGGGTGGGGCTCCAGGGCGGCG